GCATACTGCTGAGGTTTGAAGGAAATTTTTTTTAACATATATACAAGCGGCCATGATTATTGTGATACTGTTGCTTATGGAATGTATACAACAGGAACACTAGTGTGGTAACTGGTAAGCTAGGGATATTAGTAGTTGAGATCAGTTTGAGGGGGAATTCTAGATTTTCTACTTGTGGTTCGTTAAGATTTTACCTTGCCCACCCATGTTTTTTAAATTGACAAATGACCTGCTCGTACATCACTCGGTTAGACACTTGGCCTTCCCATTCTTCATCTCTTTTTTAAAATTAATATTGTGATAAAAAGATTTTACCAGTTAATTTTATCTTATGTCGCGGTACCATGATAGTGTAAAAAATAGTTGCATGAATAGATGAATTATATTCATCGATAGTTCGCCATCTTGGCATTGATAGTGATAATATGAGATGACCTAATTAAGGCACCGATGGATCTTATTATCCAAATAAGCATGTTTTGTTTTACCATGATTTACTATATAATATGGGTGGTACATACTAGTCCAATAGGGAATTGGTATGAGCAATATACATCAGTTTGTTGCTACGTCTCATCATACCCCATGTGTTAGTACATCGGTACGGTATGGTACGTATTAGTAAGGTGAATCATGCAAATAAGCACCACATATGTGTCACAAATGTTATGGTTTTATTATCATATATATACTTTACCTTCTTGAAGTTATCGGGCTGCTTATTTGATGAATTTACCATTTAGGAGAACTTTGCTATATGAGTTACTTTACTAATAAAATTAGTTCATAAGCTGTTATATTCTTTGTAGTCCATAATGCTTGAGATTAATTGGTAATTGCAGCCAATGGATAACATCCATATAGATCCAGCAGTTCTAGCCTCCTTGCCTCCATCAATGCAATTGGATCTTCTTGTTCAGGTATATGATATTTGATATAATTATTAGATCTTTTGAGTGAACGAATTTTGTTTAGACCAATTTTTAGTATTTCCTCCAATTTGAGGATATCCTTTTGCTTATGTAGATGAGGGAGAGCATCATGGCTGAGAACAGGCAGAAATATCAGAAAATTAAAAAGGTATGGAACTCTTAAAAGATTTTTTTTTTTAAATGAATCTTTTATTGCCTAATATTCATGTTTTATGTTACCACTTAGCCTGTGAATGCTATTTTTTTTGTAAAATTGTTATATTATTAACTATATATTTAACTCTTTTTGATGCAATGAATTTCTTTTAATACGGTTGTTTAGAAAATAATTTGCAATATGTGATTTCTGCATCGTTGAATATTTTGTATGGATTTTTTGAAAAAAAATTATTAGAAAATTTCATCGTTCTCTTGAAACTGGGTTTAAACTCACTAACTCTTTTGAAGTAAGTTGTATCTTCATGTTTCCATAGATTGTTCTTTTTAAGCCTAATAAGGTCTTGTTGTTCAGTTCAAGATTGTTAAGACTTAAGATGATTGGATTCATGTTCATTTAAACTAAGGGTTTGAATTTTTTACTTGCCTACTTGGATATGTTTTCAATAATCTTAGATCAAGTTCTGGGACTTCATAGCACAAGTGCCTTTATCTTGTCCATGTATAAGAGTTTCAAACTGAAGATAATAGAGATACTGAAGGAGTAACAAAATAATGAGAGTGAGACAATAAAAAACACATCATTTTTAGGCACAGTATCCTATTCTGTATCCAAATTTATGCGGTCCTTATTCATTTATTTTCTGAAATTAGTATTATAGTTAATAAGTACAGGGCTAGAGCAAGTATAATATCTCAAAGTTACTCATCACTATTTCTATTCGGTTTTGTTCTATTTATAGCAATTAATATTCTTGATAAATTCTCTTTTTTGGTCGCATAGAATTTTGGTATTCCTCGACATGTATACAATTATCATGTAGAACATAGCATAGATCTTGTTTTGATACAATAAAATGTCTGAAACAAAAAGTAAAATTATGTACTTTTCAAAATTTAGTTGCTCAAAATGCACTTATGCCCTTTGGTCTCTTTAAGGGTTTTTTCTGAACTAGAGTATCTCATGAGTACTGTTTAAATTACATGTGCCAAGTTTTTGTGGACTTGAATGTCATTCTTTTTTGTCTAATAGTAACTAAGGTATATAATTTCGAATAATATCACCTGGTACGAGGGTAAATACCGGTCCGTCAGCAATCCGGTATACGGACCGGTCGTTACTGGACGGTATATATATATATATATATATATATATATATATATATATTTTTTTTTTTTTTTTTTTTTTTTTTTTTAAGGCAACGTAACATCGCCTCGACGACGTCGTGTCGTCGAGAAGGGAAAATATATATATATATATATATCTCGACGACGTCGCGTTACTTCGGCGACATCGCCAAGAGGCGACATCGCCAAGAGGCGACACGACATCGCCTTTTATAATGATATTTTATATATATATAATATTATTTATTAATATATATATATATATACAAACGAGGCGATGTCGCCTCGCTTGGGGACAAGAGAGAGGCGATGTCGCTTCAGCGACGTCACCGAATTATATATATACATACATACATGTATATATATATATACATACATGTATACCATTCGGTATACCACTCGGTATACAGTATCATATTGTATCGAGCGAATGTTGAAACGTCGGTACGATACGAATTTCAGACCTTGATGTTAACTACAATGCTCATGAAATTCGTAATCTTGTTGGTTAGCTTTACAATAACAGTTGGAAAAAGTTACATAAGAATATATTATGAAGGAAAATTGAAGAAAGGAGGAGCATTTAGGTTGGTGTTATTGGGAATTTGGTTCATTCATCCCCTAACATAAAGAAAGAAGTTCTTCGTGCGGGAGCTTTACAACCAGTGATTGGTTTATTATGGTATCACTAGAATTGTATACTGCCTTTTTGTTCATCTGGTTTAATCCTTAAACAATGTCTAGGTTGTTTCATTATATGTTAGGTAATAAAGAAAATTTTGATTCCTTGAACTGTTTATAGAATGTAGCAGATAGTTTTACAAAGCTGCACAACATTCTTTTCAAGTTGGTGATTTGAAATCTTTAAAAAAGTTCTTTGACTAACAATATTGTCTTTAGTGCTACCTTAAAATCATGAGAATCTAAACTTTGTTTTTTGTTTGAAGATGAAAATGTTAAAGTTGCCTCAGAATCAAGGTTGTCAAATTCTTAATTTGGGTTATAGGATCATGCAATCTTACAGCCCGGATCAGGCCTGACAATTTAGATCGGATCAACGTAAATGGGTGGAATCGACTCGAGTTGTGAGTCGACTATGTAAGATCGGTTGACTCGGACAAGTCAAGTCGAGTTTGTCTAGTCAACCCAGGATATAAGAACACTCACCTTCAAAGGCGAATTGATATGCGGTGCCAACAAAGGAGCGAGGAGACGAGCTTGAGCCCTGATCCCTCACAACGAGAGTGTTGCGAATCTTCTGGTTGGCTATTCATTGTCATGGATCAGTGCTTCTCTCCTGCAGCCCGTAGGAGCAATGAGGAGACGAGCCTTAGCCATTGCTACCACTCACAATGAACTGCTATCAACGTCGTCGACCGTTGCTAATCACCATATGCATGGATTCTCTTTTCCTCTCCTACCCTCTATTTCGGTCTTTGCTTCTTTCTTCTCCTCTCATCTTCCCCCATCTCTTCTTCTCTCCCCCCTCTTCTCTTTCATCTCCATTCTTTCTCTTCGCATCTTCTCCCCCCTCTTCTCTTTCCATCTCCTTTCCTTCTCTTCGCATCTTCTCTCATCTCTTCTCCTCTCCTCCCTTTTACCTCTCTTCTTGTCTCCCCTCCTACCTTCTCCTATCTACCATCCTTTTTCCTCTCTTCTCATCTCGTACATTCTCTTCCCATCCATCCCCTATCTAATGATATCTGATATAGTTTGATCATAATAACACTGATATCGTGAGGTATTATCTTTAATATAATTGAAAAGTGCAATTCATAATTCTTAGATTGAAGTTCTACAAAGCAATAATAATGTTCGTGTAACAAAGAGGTTGCAAATTTATATCTTATATGCCAAACACAATATTCCTTTACATAATAGGAAAGTCATACTTATAAGAAATTAAGAATTTAGAAATTGTTAGGATATGCAACATGGGCAATTTAATTACCCATTTATCAATGTAAGTTATGGTGATATATTTAACCAATTGTTTATATGTAACCATACTTATGTAACTAATCTTTGCTAAACAATGTTAAGATGTTCCTGTTTGGAATATACTCATTTATAAATTTCTTTAAATATATGTATGTATCTTAAAATTATTTATTTTTATTATAATTTGTAGGATCTTATGATACTATCCTATGATCTAAGTTTACAAACCCTTTTTGATCCTAGGTTGGGAAGTGAGTTTGATAACCTTGCTTTGAACCATAAAGCAATTTTGTCAAATCCCTTTCTTACCAAGGAATGGTAGAGACTTCACTAACTTGGTTCATACGATAGAAAAGACAGTTTTCCTTTCACATGACCAAGCGATGCGTTTAAAAGCAAAACATTACAAATTTTAGTCACACTAAGCTCTTCTACGAAGAATTTAAATACATGGTTCAAAATGATCTTATTCAGTTTCATATTGAAACATGTAAATAAGCATATAAAAGAAATGAAAAGAATGAACTTGGAAACATGAATGACCATGTTGCAACCTTGTCACACTAAGCTCTTCTATATGACTATCATCTGCGTGCAAATGTGGATCAACTGTGAATAATTTGCATTTCTCCAAGTAGATTATTATTTATATTAAACATCAACTTCTTTTACATTCATAAAAGGACACGTGGGCTGCAGTTTGGAATATACTAATAAGGTCTTATGAGGGCATGGCCCCTAAAGATGCTATTCACAATTTATAATTTACCTCCATGAAAGATGAAAATATGCAATATGGATTTGCAATTCTTAACTAATATTTGGGTTAATAAACTGAAACGAAAACTTGGACAAAAAAGAATAAACAAAATCATATGACTAGAATTTCTTAATTTGGAAAAATGGCAAGTTACCTATGTTGCATGTGCAATATGTGTGGACTAATTTCAGTAATAATGTCTCTAGCTCTCGTAGTAATAGCAAACTAGAACAACAATTAAGAAAAAGCTTTGGATGTATGTTTCTAATATGTGTTCATCAAGTTGTCGAAATAAAAGCAACTAATATGTAAAACTATTCAATTAGTCAAATCCTTGCGAACTCACAAGTGCATTGCATAATCATAATCTTTCTTGAAAATATTTCTAACTCCAATCAAATATCTACTAAAGCCCAAAAAAGGAAAAAAATTAGGAACAATTAGTGTTTTTGATCGGTGCTTGGGTGCTCAGGTGAGGTAAGGTTTGAGTGCCTTGCACAACTTCTGGGCAATGTGATTCATTGAAGCATCGCTTTGGTACTGGCCTGAGCCCAAGCGTCGGGCGCCTCAGGTGAGCGCCCGAGTGAAGGTGGCTTGTGTTCGTGCTTGGTTCGATTGAATAGGCAAATTGGTTCAATCGAACCAACTAAAGAAGAGCCCTAACACTAAATGGTCCACGCCCCCCCTCTCTCGTACAACTTGACCCTGCTTTGAAACCCTACATTCGATGTCGCTGCCTTTGTTTGCAGCTCCCTCCATCATTGTTGCCTTCGTGCCATCTCCCTCCATCGTTGACGTCATTGCTATATATAAAATATATTTTTTATATTTTAATATTTTGGAGTATCTCGCTTTGTTCGAGTGGGCGTTTAGGCGAGCGCCTAGCACCTCAAGTGATTTGGGACCTTGGTTCATTTTAGCGCCTAGTGTTTTTAAAAACATTGAGAACAATAACAATCAACAATTATGGAAACATACATAACTTAAAGCATAAATGGTTCTTTCCTCCTAATAACAAAAGTTACTGAAACTCATTGGATTGAACTATCAACTTGCTTACAAATAAATGTGTAAAAGCCAAACTTTGGTTTCAAAGTTTACAAATGACAAGATATATTGTAAAAAGTTTACGAAGATGGTGAAACAGAGATCTGTGTGCTTGATAAAGACTCTTATTTGCATTGTCTAGATCTTATCCATCATCAAGTATTTTCGTTGGTAAGGCAATTTTCTGAAAATTCACTTAGACTATGCAACTTTTTTTCTCAATCTAGCATGGTTAATTGCCATTCATGTTGCACGGAGAGTCAAAGGGAAGCAGCTTTACTATTAGGGCAATTTGCTTCAGCCGATTCAGATTGCAAGGCACTTTGTCACCTGACTTTTTTCTCTTTGGCCTATCAAAGTATAATATCAATTTGCACCAGGATATACTCTTGTTTCTTACATTTGTCTGCAACCTTGATTTCTTGCATGTGCATATTGTTCAGGGAGGTGCTGTCCGCCCTCTGATCGGGATGCTTCAGTCCCCAGATATTCAACTTAAGGCGATGTCTGTCTTTACTCTTGGAATACCCTTTAATGTTTAGCCTTTTCTTTTGTAGTGTGATAAATCTGACATTTTATATTTAAATTAGCATTTTTGCTATTTCTTGATCTATAAATACTTGATTTATTCAGCATTGCTGTTCTTGATCAATTTTCTCACTATATGTTTTTGTTACTAGGGACATTATTATAAGCTGTCGTCAGTGATAATTTATTGAGCTAATTTTTTTCTTTTCATAATTTATTCAGCTAGTTCTTTTATTTTCCTTCTCATGTAGGACATTATAGTTCTATGTTTAATCTTCTATTTGAAAATTTAAGATCTGCAAAAAGGACCATTAGAAAGGGATAAGTTCGATACACAATCTATATTAGTTACCTAAAACAGGGAACATTTTGGGTCATGGTTCTGGTACAAGGATGACATTCACTTCTTATCTTGGTCAGTGATATATGAACAATAGGGTTGGTTGGTTTTCTATTTCGTTCATGCTACTCATTAAATTGCTTACTCAGGCTGATAATAACATTAGTTAAAGTAGTGTTGAATTGTTAAATAGTTAGTTGTGTGTTTAACTGGATCAGAAAATGATGGCGATACATAACTTGAAAGTTCTGGCTTGGTTGGTTTTCTATTTCATTCATGCTACTCATTAAATTGCTTACTCAGGCTGATAATAACATTAGTTAGAGTAGTGTTGAATTGTTAAGTAGTTAGCCATTTGTTTAACTGGATCAGAAAATGATGGTGGTACATAACTTGAAAGTTCTGAACTTAATCATACCAATCGCCGTGTTGAATTGTTATGTAGTTAGCCGTGTGTTTAACTGGATCAGAAAATGATGGTGGTACATAACTTGAAAGTTCTGGATTTAATCATACCAATCCCCATTATATTACCCAAAAGCCAATCCCAATCCTGAAGCTGATCTTGCAAAGTCTTAGCCGACAAAGCATGTGGTTATTTGCTGAATCACACCTGTCGGAAAAGTGTAAAAAGGTTTTCATACATAAAAAATGTTCAAAATTACCTAGTTTAATACCTAACCAGCTAGCCTGGTAGTGTGTAGCGAGTCATTTTCCCATAGGTCGAGGGTTCAAACCCTTGCCATAGTAACTTCTATCAGTTCTATACGTGTTTTCATTTTGTTCTCTAGGGTCTGATGCGCTTGGGTGATGTTTGAAAAAAAAAAGCTTACCTAGTTTATATTATCTATTTTGAGAATTTATTTGTTGGTACACACTCACGGTTTTTTCGTTATTGTTGTATTTGCTGGTACACTTCCCAATACTGTGCTAGTTGTGCATGCTGTATGTACACTAGCATATATGCTTTGTACAACAGCTGCTTCTAGTAGTTACTACTCTATTTTATTAATTTAAAATTTCAGTTTGGTGATTGTTGGAACACTATTCTTAACAAGCAAAGCAGTTCTCATTTTAGTTCTTTCCCATCTGTGTTTTTTATTCCAATGATATTTAAAATTTCAGTTTGGTGATTGTTGAAAAAAATATTCTTGTTAATATCAATATCCATCTGCCACAATACAGCACATTAGTTTCTTTCTCCTTATATATGATTGGATTTGCTTCATTTTCCTGATAAACAATGACTCGTTTTTGCTCTATCTCAAAGGCCTTTTATTTTCCTTCTAGGACTCACACAAACAAGCTGGTATTGTCTACAATGGCGGTTTGGTGCCTCTTCTTAAACTTCTTGACTCGAAAAATAGATGTTTGCAACATAATGCTGCATTTGCTCTTTATGGTATTGCAGAGAATGAGGTGAATCTACATCAAAATATTCCTTTGTTGTGATTTCATATTCTGTTTCTTTGCATAATGCTGTAATGTGAAATTGAGATCTATTGGTTGGACACAGGCTTCGTATTCTTGTCTTTGTTGTTAGGATAATGTCTCTGATTTTATCAAGGTAGGAGGTGTTCAGAAGCTACAAGATGGTGAATTCATTATCCAGGTATGTTGAGTACAGTGATGTTGCCAGATCCATGCTTCCTAATATGTATATATTGATCTTGTTTTGATTTGTTTTATATTTTGAACCAAGTTTTATTGAAAAATATTACTTCAATTACAGGCAACTAAGGACCGTGTAGCAAAGACAATGAAGAGATTAGAGGAGAAGATTAATGGGCCAGTACGTTCTGTTTGCTGTATTTCTTGGCTTATTGCAGTATATATTCAGAACGATAAGGATTTACTTTTAATTGGTGGATATGTTTAATGGATGTAGATATGGTGTTCCTTGCCTTTTGCCCTTGCAGGTACTAAAGCATTTATTATATCTGATGCGAGTTGGAGAGAAGGTTGTCCAAAGACGTATAGCTTTGGCTCTTGCTCATTTATGTTTACCTGAGGATCAAAGAACTATTTTCATTGATGATGATGGTACTGTATCTGTCCAGCAACCATGACATCCTTCTGCTTTTCCTCCTTAAGCAACATATTCTCAATGTAGGACTTGATCTTCTTCTCGAACTACTGGGATCGACTAATCTAAAACAACAGCAAGATGCATCAGTCGCTCTTTACAAGTTGGCTAAAAAATCCCTAACACTCTGTTTTGTTGATGCAGCTTCTCCATCCACCTCACCTCAAGTTTGCTAAAATAGGCATTCCTTAATTTTGTTTCTAAGCAGTTTTAGCAGTAAAACATGTCCCATATTCACAGAAATACAAAAATATATAAAAAGGTCAGATTTTCAATTCTTGGAGCTAGTTACTTGGAATTTGAAAGTGCTTATGTAATTGTTTTGGCTAGTCTTCTAACTCAAAGTTTTTTTGAATTGTCTGTCTTGACTCTTGAGACTGATCAAACATAAATATTACTTGATCAGTATAAACCTTTTTTCTAATTGGAGAATGAAAATTGTTTGCTTATCTACAATATCACTTTATCCTGCAACAAGCATATGCTAGAAAGGAGATGCGAATTTACGATCTAATTGTTACAAATCATTGGAGAAATTGAGGCAAAAGTATATACCTTACGACAAGGAATGAACTACTGGGTATTCTTATTAGTGAAGAGGAGGCATTAATTTTGCAGGTTTGACCTCTTAAGTGGATCGCTTATGTTTGAAATCAGCAATCCTATTTTAGTTGAAACGAACATGGATACACTGGTAGATTACTGCTCAAGACGAAAAAAAAAGAATCACATGTCATAATTGATATCTGAATAATCAAAATCCTGAATGTTTGATGTTGGGACTTCATATGCATCCAATGTGTACAAATATGTTTTGCTACGTAACAAAACTTCTACATGCTATCATAGAGAAATACATGACAAATGCAAAGGCCCAATGAGTCTGTCAACTATGCTAGAACAGAGCTATATACCTATAATAGTACTAATCATGTTGTTCATGTAGGTGTACCTGGGCGAGCAGTATGTGAATAGCTCCACGCTATTAGATGGTACCTTTCTAGTTGAAGGTTGTGGACTATTCTTACCATATGTAGTTTTTTCCTTTAAACAATTGCATAGCACATTTAAAGTTGTAGCAACTTATGTATGCTACATTCCTCATTTAAAAGGAAGCTATTAGTTGTGTGCGCTAAATATCTAAATGTTCATTATCTGTTCTTTTCCAGGCAAGTGCTTTTATGCACACAGAATTGCTCTGTTTGCTTCTTCGGATGCATTTTGTGCAATGTTTGATGGTGTCTACCGGGTAAGGGAACTCATGTGTCAACCATGCTTGTTTTTCTTCAGAATTAAGCCCTAATCATGATCAGATGTCTGGAAATAATGTTGTAAAAAAACGACTAGTTTCTGATATAAAGAAGCTATAGCACGCGTCATAAATAAAGCATTTACATGCGATACAAAGAGGCATATCTGTCTATTTTGATGTGCTTTGGTTAGTGAATACAATAAAATGGTGAACAGGTTTTACAATTAGATAAATTAAATACTAAGTTGCCATCTCAAACGTTTGTTGCTTTGTAAATGTTAATGTAAATCTCCCATGGTCCTATCTGTACATAAATAATCATGCAGAATTGAGAATCATATCTTTGATCACTAAGATTGTCTTAGTACTTGCTTGATGCATATCAGAAATGCTGATTTGTAGAAAGTTAAAGTCTATAGTTTTTTTAATTCTTATGGACATATTTTAAAATTTAATTTTTTTAAATTTCCTGAATAAAGCATGGCATCATTAGTTCTACAACTTATTATGTCTGAGGAGTGATGCACTTGTCAAGGACAAGAATATGCTGTATGTTGTGAAATTTGTTTTTGTTTTGGATTTTGCTGCAAGAAGCATTAGTAAATCCATCCACTGTCTAACATAGCACTATGTCCAATGTGTGGAAGTTTGATGAAAACCTGTCATGTGAACGGGCAGTTACTATGCATAGCTGCACATAAGAGGAAAAGTCTGGGTTCTGCAATCATGGTATTATAAATTCGTGAGACTTCACAATGGCATATGTATTAATCAATATTCACTTTTTTTTTTTTGCATATACTATTGGTGCGGCATGATTGCTTTAATAGGGCTTGGTTTCCTTGCAGTGCTCATATAGATACTTGCCTATTGACAACTTCAACTTGAAATGCTTGTCAGGTAGGCTGTACCTAAATGTTTCAAATTTTCTATTGCACTAACCTTGTTTGTGCTAAAATTTAGATGGATGAATTTATTTACTTTCTAAACAATAATAAAAACATTGATATACTTGGAGAAATATATATTCAAGTGCTTAATGATCCATTTTAACCGACCTTTTGTTTTTAAAAATCTCAGGGTGTCCTCAATATCAAAGTAAAGATCATGTTGGATTAGGATCTTAAAGTAAAGCAGGGCTCCATGACTCCTTTGCCAGATCATGTTACAATTCATACCCCAAAGGAGGAAGAGGAGTTAATCCTACCACTTGTTCTGCCTCTAGAGATTTAATTTGAATGCTACAACTTTTGCAAAAGGAATTAGGATTACATTTCTTCTTGATAAGCATGCGGCAGGTAACAAGCCAAAGTTCTTCTGATTTATGTGCTTGTACTAGTCCTAGATTAACACGAAGGAAGATTGGGAGTCTCTAGGCCCATATCTTAGTTTGTTCCAATCTTCTCAGGAGCGTCATTTGTTCTTATCATTTGTTTTGGTACCCAACATGGTTACCCCTTATTTCGACAATTTTTACTGTTTTGTAGACTTGATATTAGTTATTTGAATTCGTTTGTAACTTCCAAAGCTGGAATAGTAGACTCAGATTGATTGTCTAAATTCATTCAAAATTCTGAATATTAGTTAATAGATGCAATTTGATCATTTTTTCGTGTGCTAAGATGAATGGTATATTCTTCTATCTCAATTGTCTTGTATTTCTTAACGGTGGCTTATTAGTTGTTGATACTCAGAGTTCTTATTCATCTAACAAATTTAACATGATGCAGGCGTTCTTCTCGCTATTGAGAAGCTCGCATCAGGCCATCTCCGGCGGCACCACCATCAAAACGGTTGAGTCCACCTTCACGGAGGCCGCGACAGACACGGTCACCGGCGATAGCTTCGTTGGGCGGAAGAGAAATAGAGAGGAATCTTCTACTCTCTCAATATCAAAGTAAAGATCATGTTGGATTAGGATCTTAAAGTAAAGCAGGGCTCCATGACTCCTTTGCCATATCATGTTACAATTCATAGCGAGAAGAACGCCTGCATCATGTTAAATTTGTTAGATGAATAAGAACTCTGAGTATCAACAACTAATAAGCCACCGTTAAGAAATACAAGACAATTGAGATAGAAGAAC